CAGGTCAAAATGTCTTGGACATGTCTGGAACATTGCAAACTAGTTGCATTCATCCTGCAGAAACAACAGCATGCCTGAGGCTCTACTACCTAAGTATATGCACCTTGCATGATTTCGGGCACTGCGATGTGCTTTTGGCCTCCATCTGTTACTCCAGAAGGACATGAATCCTCTCTAAGTCTTCTATAAATCCTGAGTCATAACAGTCAGCCATGGAAGGTTGTCTTGGATACCCTAAGGTTCTTTAAATGGCAGTAGTTACCTACATTTAGCAGATGAATGTCATCCACACTGTCAAAGTGGATAACCCAAAAGCATAATGACTGCCCTGTCAGGATAGAGAAATGTAAATTGCAATGGTTCAGACAAGCTGGCATTTCTGTGGGCAGAGTATCACAAAAAGGTAGAGGAAGTAACCTCTGGAGTTCTTCTACCCAACACCTTGCTCAGAGCAGGGTCAGCTAGAGCAGGCTGCCTAGGATTCTGTCCAGCTGGGTCTCTAAGGATAAAGACTCCACAACCTCTCTGGGCAACTTGTTCCAGTGTTTGTCCTCTCTCACAGTGAAAAGTGTTTGTTCTTATGTTAAAATGGAAATTCCTGTATTTCAATTTGTGCCTATTGCCTCTTCTATCACTGGATAACACTGAGAAGAGTCTGGCTCCACCTTGTCAGGTATTTATATGCATTGATATGGAAAGGCAGCAAAATTAACATCCTTTTGTCTGGTGCTATGAACTTCTGGTTGCCATAGGTTACTGACAGAACAGCATCCACAGAATTTACAAGACCAAAGTTTAATCTGAGACTCTTAAATAAGGGAAGTTCCGTAATGCTCATTTATTATTTCACATCAAAATGGCTTAAACAGTTGTGCAGGAGGGTGTTTTGGTGCTTTTCATGGGAAGGAGGTTGCAAACTGAAAGGACAAGTCAGAGTTTGGTGATTGACTGTAATTTATTTTTCAATAGGAGATCGAGGTGGAGTTAGATACCCAAACACCTTTCAAAAATCACGAGCAGATTCTACTTAAGTGGGGGCAATTCCAAGTACAAATACAGGCTGGATGAAGAATGGATTAAAAGCAGTCCTGCAGATCAGGATTTAGGGATACTGGTGGACAAAAAGCTAAATATGATGCAGCAATCATAGAATCACAGAATGGTTTGGGTTGTAAGGGACCTTAAAGATCATCTAGTTCCAACCCCCCTGCCATGGGCAGGAACACCCAAAGTGCACCTGCAGCCCCAACAGTATCCTGGGCTGTATCAGAAGTGTGGCCCGCAGGGTGGGGGGGGGGGGTCTCCCTCCATACTCTGCTCTTGTGAGACCCCACCTGGAGTGCTGCGTCCAGCTCTGGAACCCTCAACATAAGGATATAGACTGGTTGGAGTGAGACCAGAGGAGGCCACAAAGATGCTCAGAGGGCTGGAGCACCTCTGCTATGGGGACAGGCTGAGAGAGTTGGGCTTGTTCAGCCTGGAGAAGAGAAGGCTCCGGGGAGACCTTATTGCAGCCTTCCAGTACCTGAAGGGGCTACAAGGAAGCTGGGGGGGACTTTTTACAAGGGCCTGTAGTGACAGGACAAGGGGTAATGGGTTTAAATTGAAAGAGATTTAGACTGAACATGAGGTAGAAATTCTTCCCGGAGAGGGTGGTGAGGCACTGGAACAGGTTGCCCAGAGAAGCTGTGGATGCCCCATCCCTGCAAGTGTTCAAGGCCAGGCTGGATGAGGCTTTGAGCAACCTGGTCTAGTGGAAGGTGTCCCTGCCCATGGCAGGGGGGTTGGAACTGGATGGTCTTTAAGGTCCCTTCCAACCCAAACCATCCTGTGATTCTATCTTTAAAATTTGAAATGTGATTGTGAAGACCTTTGAGGAAACTGTTAATGCAGTTAAATGGACCCTCGGTTCAAAACTACAGTCAGCATACAAAACCTCCTAAATATTATGTAAACATACACATATCTAGAATACAACTGCTTTCCTTGAACTGAATATGTGTGTTAGATACACAAAAGCAAGATGAGACCAACAGATTGGATGCATTTTTTCAAATAGTATTTATATTAATTTCTACAGTCACAAAATAGTTACCGATCAGTTGAACATGTTTTCTGAAATGGTGGCCTATTGCAAATCATCCTCTTTCCATCATTAAGCACAGCTATGGAATACATATTCCAGAATGTTCTAGGTCAGTAAAACACATTGCTTACATTGAGTTATTATATTAGATTGTGAGCTGCATTGATATATATTGCCAAAATATTTTTCCATGAATCTACATTTGTAATATTCACCATAAATAAAGAATATTAAAAAAGTAATTTAGAGTTTTGTTGAGCTTTGAGTAGTTTTCTTTTTTCCTACGTAAAATTTAAGTTAAAACAGAATGGGAAACATTTTCTAGGAAATGAAAAATTGATGGTTTTTGAAAACAGAAATCCAAACGTGACAGCAAGTCCTTTGTTGTGGTGCCTTAGAAAATAGCAATGATTGCTGAAATCATTACTGTGCCCTTCAGATAGGTGTCTGAACTGCTTATTTTCGGATAGGGGCTAAGCAGCTTCTAGAAGAAAAGGAAAAGAGAGTGAGAGTATTGTTGTTGCAGATCTTGGCAGATACTAAAATCTCAGTTGGATCCCTCTTCATATTATTCAGAAGGGCTGCGCATAGTAATTGAATCATTTGGCATCTTGAATTTGGAGGTCAGGTGGGCTCCAAAGCATTTTCTTGATGCTTTGGCTATTTTGGCTCTGTGCAAAGAGGAGCAGCATGGGACCTGCATTCAGAGATCGGGATTACGTTGCTCCCAACATGGTGTGCATCTGAGTACCAGTATGGGGGAGAAATTGGTCTCTTGCTGTTAGTGCTCTTTTTTTCTGTGAGAGCACTGATAATCAGCAGTGATCACAAAAGGCAAAATTGTGAGATTTTTCACATTTGACTTAGAGCAGAAATTTTCTCCTGTATGCAGGTCAATGCTGCAATAGATCAGCTGCTGGCTGTTTGTATTCAGTTTAGGGCAGTGGGTCAGACAGAAAACATAACATTGGCGACAAGGATTAGTTAGGGATTAATTAATAATAATTTAATTTGGTCTTCCAGAAAAGAAAATAAAAACCTGTCGATGTTGTGATTTGAATCCATTCTGTATCAGTTTCAAAGCCACATGATTAGTTTTTGCTGCCATATACTAGAAATATGTAAATTGCCATTATGCATAATCTCCTGAATCAGCTGCTTTTCTGTATTAAACTGCAGCCAAAAACATTATGCATGTCACATTACTATAAAAAATACACAGGGAAAACATTTGGGAAAACATATTTTCTTTGAAAATGTTGGCATAGAATCTTCCCATTGATTATCCAGTTTTTGTTATCTCTCTTTGGAGATTCTTTTTAATGACAATTTTGTATTATGTTTTAATGAAAGCCCCAGGCACGAAAATTAGAAAAATAATCATACAAGTTATTCACAGTCATGGTATTCAGTCCCGATCAAGTGCTGCAGTACCAAAGGATGCAATTTATTAATCATAGAACCATAGAGTGGTTTGGGTTGGAAGGGACCTTAAAGATCATCTAATGATTCTTATCAAAAGCAAAGTGATATCTAATCTCATGAAATAGCTAAATCTTAAACTGAGGTTACCATAATGAACAACTGGGATCTACAAACATATCCTATAGGCAATGAGAGCTACCCTAATTCTAAAGCTTTCCAGGAGAAAATTAGCGCTTTAAAAGATTGTCTATGGACAATGCAAATACCTGGGCTGGATGATTCTACCTATACCTTTGAAAAAGTTCCCTTTTAAAAGAAATTCCCAGTTAACACAGTCAGTTTGCTCTAAAACTCATTGCCCATTCCAAACTGGGAGGCAAAGCCTAACCCAAAACAGAGAAAACGGAGGGTAACAAATCTCTGGAACAATAAACTCATCGGTTACTTCTTTGCGGTGAGTAAACACTGGGGCACACAGACCTCAGAAAATGGAATAGTCCTGAATTTTCTCATTACTCTAAGACCACTGTGTTGATTTTTTTTTTTTTTTCAATTAGCAGCAAAGGATAATCTATGCTTTCCACCTTGAAGACAGAAATTACTTTGAAATGGACTAGCCCCGAATAAAGTTCCCCTTTGAGTGTGTACACAAGGAGATTAAGATAAATGGCAGGACTGGGCACACCAGAAGCTCCCTCCTTGTCATATTAATTCTGGCTTCTTCATTGATCTTGGGTAACTCATGGAAGTTCTGCTCCTTAAACCCCTACACCAAGTAAAATGTGATTTATCCACTTTTCCTTCTAGAGATTTGTAACAAGCATGAGCTGAGACACTCCTGCCAGCACTTACACAAATGACTCTTTGCCTTCCAGTATGGAAACAAGGGCCTGTAGTGACAGGACAAGGGGTAATGGCTTTAAACTGAAAGAGGGTAGATTTAGATTAGATATCAGGAAGAAATTCTTCCCGGAGAGGGTGGTGAGGCAGTGGAACAGGTTGCCCAGAGAAGCTGTGGATGCCCCATCCCTGGAAGTGTTCAAGGCCAGGCTGGATGAGGCTTTGAGCAACCTGGTCTAGTGGAAGGTGTCCCTGCCCATGGCAGGGGGGTTGGAACTGGATGGTCTTTAAGGTCCCTTCCAACCCAAACCATTCTGTGATTGTAAGGAGTTGCACAAGCAGTCTTGCAGCAGTAGATCTCATGGTATCTTAGGATCAGGCCTTTAAGTTGCTGAGTGTATTTAGCAGTACGGATAGTAGCTAAGCACTAAATATTTTGAAAGCATTTGAGATTTGCAATGAGTCATGTCCCTGTTCATATTTAAAGGAATGCTGCTCAAATTCCTTACGGGTTCTACAGAAAAGAATTAAAAAGCCATAAAGATGAAAATTGACAAAAGTAAAAACTACAAAATGAAGCAAAGGGACTCCAGGAAGGCGAGTGCTTGTGCAGCAGCCTTCACTAATGTCTGTGTGTTCTTGCTTTCAGGTCCCAGTCTGTGGTGGAAGCCGGCACACTGAAACACGAAGACCAGGGTGAAAGTGAGAACACCCAACCGCTGCTGGCTCTGGACTGAGCTCCCATCTCCCAACACACAGATTCATTAACAGACTTCCACGTACCAGAAACCCACAGAGCACACAACACACATGCATTTTGCTTGAGAACAAGTCCTTCATGTTTCTTGACCAAGCAACATCTCTCACCAGCCATCTGTCCGTGCAGCCAATGCCGAACAAAAACTGAGAAATTTCTATTGACACGCAAGTCTGTCCATATACAAATAATTTCTTTTTTTTGTGGGGTTTTTTGGTTTGTTTGGGGTTTTTTTTTGACTTACAACATTAAAATATTGGAAATGATGGGGCTGCATTCTCTGTTTAAAGAAACCAGAGTGTGTCAGTAGTTTTCCTGAAGACTCCAGAAGGGATGCTCAGTTTTATAGAAGCAAAGGTTAAGAAAAGCATCTGAAATTTAAACTTTGCACAATAATCAGCAGTTTGATCTGGCTTAGAGGGCAAAAACAGCAGCATCTACAATTTGATCAAGTTTTACAGGAGGATTTTTGCATTTAAAAAAAAAAAATATCAATCAGCGCCCGCATAATGCCATTCCACGTGACACTTTGTGACTGCCTCATCCATGCTGCTTATAAGGGGGGGGTGGGTCACATTTCAGTATCTCGAAAAAATTATTCTTAACTTTTGAAGCCCTTGTAAAACTGTCAGCTAAGTGGAACGAGCTGTGCGGGCAGCAGACGCACACAATTTAAAATGCAATTATTTAATTTTAACGATGTGTTTCTCCATGGGCAACTTGGGAGCCTATTAGATGTGTGTGTATACGTGTGTGAAGGGGGGGTGCTGGGCAGACCCACTGGACACATTCACCAGTGATTAATGGTTCAATCCAGATTGTTTCATTTAGGTCACAAAGGCAAATGAAAGCTCTGCAGAGCCATTTACCCCCTTCCCTCCTGCAGTCAGCAAAAGGTGTAGCCAGAAGGGTACTCTGATTGCAGATGCAGGCCACGGTTGAAATGATGAAAAAGGAAAACTTAGAATTAATTATTTAGTACAAGATCTTGCTAGAAGGAAATGTGGAAGAATGGAAGAACTGAAATGCCAAAGATCAGTTTGTTATTTCTCTATTTGCTCTAGCTGCAAAGAGAGTCCCATCCCTTCACTGAAATGGAAACTGTATTAAAGAAATAAAAGAAAAATTGTTACCAAATTGCATGTGCAGTGACTTTATTTCCTAAAACAGTTACAACCACTGTACACACCTTTAGTCTTTAATTAAATTGCCATACATTGACAATTTACTAGAAGAAGCAGTTGGCAAGAACACATCAAAAACAGCAGTGTAAACCATATATATGAAATGAGATGAGATGATAATGGGCACAAGAGTTTTTATTGTACCTCTGGAACATCCACTGAATCCATAAGTGATAGACTGAAGTGACGATGTAGTTCAACTGGGCATGGTCAGCCCTAGCAGATGGACTGATGAAATGTTGCCTTTACTTACAACAACACTGTCTGCCCTTGGCAGAAGGGACATCCTGACGGATCCTGGCAACACACCTGGGATTTACCCGCTAGTATTTGTACAGACTACACCTTCCTCTGCAGCAGCAGCATGTCACTGATACAAAGCCTGGCCTCCATGATAGAGAGGCGAGTCTTTAAGGCAGGGGATGGTCCCAGCAAGGCAACACAGGCATCTGGAAAAAAGAGGCAGATGCTTGCAGGAACATTAAACAAGTAAGACAGCTGAGCCCATTTATCTTTGGGATTTCTTCCATTCCCCCTCCCCTGGCATTACCACCTATTACAGAAAACTAGGATGTTCACTCCTGGTAACAGGACACAGCTCCTTTCCCTTCCTTGGGCTCATGAAAACTCACAGCCATTTGGATTTGTCACAGAGAACTTGCTTAAAGCAGAAACTAAAAACCCAAACGCAAAAATAGACAGACATTGGCTGTTACGCTGCAGCATTAATGAAGACATACTTTGGTTTACGATTTCTCTCTCTTAATACACTTACTCTCCATTGCCATTGAATCTTTGTGATGATGTGTTACAATCATTGTTGAAGTGGGACTTGTTCTGCCCAAGAAGTGCAAATATCACTGAAGTCCTTGAGGATTAAATTTAATAGAGGATTAGAACTGTTTTCTTTAGCTGTGACATAACTACATATGATGCCTTGTATGTATATATAACTGTATGATGGCTGTATTGAACTGTAGGATCTTAGACAGATTCCATGCTTGCAAGCAACAGGTAACTACAGGCAGAGAGGAATCCATCAGAATGAGTATGTACTGCCTTATAAAAAAGACACTATATTGCCCTTCTCTGTCATTTCCCTCTGTAAATAAATCTAAAGAAAAAAAAAATGCTCAAATTGCAATGGTTCTCCATTTAAAAAAAAAAAACATTTCCATTCACTTCTTCCGCTGGCATTTCAATATTGAAAAGCTTTTCCAAGATGAAATACCAGTTGGCAAACAGGAATACCTAAAGAAACGTACCACTTACGCACTGCAAATTTTCTGTAGTTTGTTATATATCCTCCCCGTGTATACATCTAATCCAGTAACTGTACCTAGCAAAGATAGGCGCTCAGCTCCTTGACAGGTAGGCATGGAGTAGATTCACCCCAGTGTTGCCGGAGCTATGCACGATACACCTTGCCATAGTCAAAGCACTTAAGATTTAAAATGGCCAATACATCACTACATTATTAAGCAAACAGTGCTACACACATCTTGGGTAGATCGCTTCAATCTATTTGCCAGTTTTTATCTATTTGGCAATCACAATCGGCAAAGATAAAGTACGAGCCTTCAAAAGAACAATGAAACAATCTGAAGGACGGCATGGATTTTCACAAACACAGCTCCAAAGCTTTTATCACTCCTTTAGTATTTACTCAGAGCTATAGAAACTAAAATGCAACATTAATAAAAATATTCCTAACGCACAAATTTTGGTTTAAACAGTTCTTGATTCCTTCTTCACAAACTGTGTCTTTATTTTAGAGAATTACAAAACAGTTTGTAATTTGTTCTGCTTGATCACTTCACAAAGATAGAAAATACAGCTGCTGACTAAACTACCAGGAGATTTAAAAAGAGAAAATTGTACTGTGACCCCACCCCCCCAATAACGAGTACCTTATTTCCAGTTTTGCACATGATTCTCCTAAAGCTCCCCAAAAGTATTTTTATATTTTCATGTGAAACTAATACATCTTTTCAGTTTTCACCATAATTAACTGAGAACTGTCACTTTCTTGTATACTGTGCGTAGTTTCAGTGTTATTTTTGATACAGACAACACATTAAAGCCTAATTATCATAGCTGTCTAAAACTGACTCTTGATCAGAGAGGGTTTATCAGTTTAATAGTCAAAAAGGAAATTAAAGTGCACACCTCCAGAAACTGGTTACACTAATTTATGGTGTAATCACCATGTGTTACACGGCATTACAAGATTTAATTACCTAGTAAAATACAAAATCTGAAAAGCATTCAGCTTATGGGACTGCAAAGCTCTTAGCTCTATTTTGCTACAGCAAACGTGGCATCCTGGTCACGATACTTAGGTACCATGACGTAGCCTCTGCAGTACAAAACCACGAGCATTAAACAAATATGACGAGTGTTCAGTGTATTTTGGGCAACAAAGCCAAAGCTGTGGAGACTAAGTAACCTCAACGTCTCCCTGCTTAGTGTTTGTCTCTCACAACCCTCGGTAACGATGTCACTGCTCTTGACAAGCCCTGAGGTTCCCAGCACACCTATCCACACCCTGTTGATTTTATGGGCAAACAGATAAAAACCAGCCATAAACATCAACAGTGCAACTTCAGGTTTCTCTTTCCTGTTAGTGTTTTTAAAAGTAAACAGTGGAGCGTCCTGCACCCTCCATCTCCCATTGAACAGTACAGTCCTAAAGGACCACCAACTGCTTAAAAATCCAACCAGTTTCCTTTCTTGAAAATAGGCCTTTTTACCATATAGGTAAATCTGTATGGCAAATACAGGGCATACTGTAAGCAGCACTACTTCAGCATTATGTCATACATTTCAAGACCATTATGTCATACATTTCAAGACAAGGAAAACACCATTAGGTCAATTAAAGGATCATTCTAGCACTCTGTAGGATGCTGGCAGCATAAATCAATACAAGTTAATAACCTGAAGCTCTTTGCTCTGCATTCTGGCAGGAAATCAAGATAGGCATTGTCCTTCTGCCCAAAGCACAAGAAATTCATCATGTAATTTTTTCTGCTGAATAACCACCCAAGGGCAGGCTAGAAAGAACCCCTGGAAAGAAGTGCCCCAGACCCTTGCTGGGTAGAAAACGGGTGTCTCAACACAAGCTTGTGTAATAATAGGAGCAACAGCAGTTCACCAAATAATCCTAAGAACTGTCAGGCACTTTAAGATCTGAGCCTGCAGGTATCACATTTGGCCAATAGCTTCCAAAATCACATTATCAAACTGAAGGTTGCCTGCTAACTAAGAGAACTATTTTGTTTTAGAAGAACAAAGCTTCATTAAGAAGCTGATTATGCAAGTTTCTGTTTGCATTTCCAGGAAAAGGCGGCCACACTTGGCAAAAATGAAATCTCTTCATATAGTGTTTTCCTTCTGCTAATAGCTAGAGATGCACTTTCATATATATATTGTTATTTAAAAAATAGTGGTTGCTTAAAGAAGATTTGTTCATAATTATGCTAGAAAAATACAGTTACTCAGGTAGAAAAAAATACAAAACACACATAACCCATTCACATTATCTACAGTTGATAACACAGGGACATGCTCTATGCCTGAAGCAGCTGACATTACAACTGCATACTGATTTTCAAAGTTGCTGTGTGCATATGTTTGTAAATATCATACACGTTCTTTCCCAGATAAAAGCCTGGGAAGTACTTCCCAGATGCAGAATCGCAAATCTTGTGCCTGAACATGGTCAGGCGGGTGACTGACTGACTGGTTTTGTGCACATAATATAGGCCTGGCAAAAGCATTTGAACATTCCTCA